GAATTATATCGTTTTGTATATATTGTTTGTTTAACAAATTATTGTGTTTTTTCATTTGTTTTGTTATAGTGTATGTTGGATTATTATTGGGCAGATATGTTGATATTAGTTACTCGAACAAGTATATTTGATTTTTGGGTAAAATTTGAATTCTAACAAGTTTTTTCAATTTTTTTCTTCTAAAAACGTATTTAACAAATACGTTTACTTTTAAATTAAATTTAAATAATATGAAAAAATTTAAAACGTATTTCATAAATACGTTTTAATGATTAAAAAAAAAAACGAAAACGTAAACGTATTTATGAAATACGTTCTTATATTTTAAAAAATAAAAAAAATTTATAACCGTATTTAGGAAATACGTTGTAATATTTAAAAACAATAAAAAAAAAAAATTTAAAAACATATTTAAAAAATACGTTTTGATATTTAAAAACAATAAAAAAAATAATTTGAAAACGTATTTATAAAATACGTTTTGATATTTAAAAACAATTAAAAAAAAATAATCTGAAAACGTATTTATAAAATACGTTTTGTTTTTGATTAATTTACTTAATTAGGATAATAATTCTAAACGTATTCAAGGAATACGTTTTCCTTTCAAACTTTCTTTAAGCCGTATTCAAGGAATACGGTTTCTAAATAATTTATGTAGAAAACGTATTCCTTGAATACGTGCTTTTTGTTTTGTTCCACACCTTTTTTTCTTTTTTCTTTTTTTTTTTTGTCCACTTATTTTTTGGTTTTTTTTTTGGTAAAAAATTCCTAAAGCAACGCTTAATGGACTAAAGCAAAAATCATATCGCCTACGCCTAGTTCCATATTTTCAAACGACCAATGTCACAACTCACAATGCCTTTGTGTGTTTGTTTATAAAATATTTCTAGCTCATTCTTATAGTTTTTCTATAAAACTAGATGGTTGGTTTCCCACATGAAAGTTATGTGGGACAGCCCCATGTGGAGCTGTCCCATTGGTGGTTGGTTCCATAAGGAAACCAACCATCTGATTCCTTAGCAAAATTGCTCATATTTAATTCATAAATTTAACTTAACTTTAAGTTAATCTCATTATTCTTAATATTATTAGTATAATTAAATCATTTCAACCAAATCAATTTTATATATCACATCAGTTTTTATTTGTGATCCATCAACTCACATAATTTTAACTAATAATTACTTTTACATTATGTCTCTCATGCTTTTACATCAAATCCATTTTAATTATTTTATTTTAATATAAGCTCAAAATTTCACTAACAACACAGTACCATTTTTTTTCAAAAGTAACACTGGTTGAAAAAAAAAAAACTTGTTTTCACGCATATATTTGTGTACAACCCACTGTTTTAAATAGCTCGCTACTGCTCTGTCTCTCCAAAAAAACGTGACGTAGCTTTTTATATTTAGTGCTTTTTCTGCTTACGCTAAATACTGAAATAACACGTTTTTTTCGCTATTTATCATGCTATTTTGTGCTACATTATGCTATGTTTCTGCAACGACATTTAAACAATAAAATATAAAAAAAAAACTTGTATTTTTTTATGGATTAGAGGTATATTAAACTACAAAACTAAAAATTTTGATAATGATTTCGAATTAAAATTTTGATGCAATATATATCGATCTATGTCTATTATACCATTATATTTTTAGGTATTTGACATTTCAATTTAAGAATAAAAAAATCAGATCTAGTGGTAAGAATAAAATTTTAATTAAATTAAAAAAAATTAATTACAATATATATATGCTTAAATTTAATCTTATTAAATTTCCTTGGTTTCTTTTTACTTTTTAGTATATTCGTTTTATTATTTAAATATTTATATTATGATATTTATATTTAACATTTGTATGAAATAATTTTTTATGTTATTTTGAGTTCATTCAAATATTATGATATTTTTTTGAATAAACCATTCAATTTTATATATAAAATAAAAACTAAAACGCAACGTATTACGCTATACGCATTTTAAAACACTGGTACACTACTAAATTCTCCATAGTCCACATCACAATAAAAATGTAAATTAATAATGCCAAATTGGGTTATGTTTGGGCCCAAAAAGACAACCCTACTTTTAAGAACGTGCCCACTCACAAATCATCACAATCCCTGAGAAAGGAGCATACACTCCTTTGCTCGGCTGCCATTTTTTCTTTAAATCAACTCAGAAGTCTCTCCCACTCAAAATATCTATCAAACCCTAATTTCATTGGAATCTATCAGATCCTCCCCTTATTTTCCGCATCAAAAGGTACACAGCGAACTTCATTCCTTCCCTTTTTCTTCATGTTCAAGAAATTTCTGTTCGTGAAATTTTTGTCTTGAATTTATTTATATAGATGTAATATGAGAAACCCACGAGTTATGGGGATTTATTGCGCTCTGTTTGGTTGTTGGGAAGCTAAAATACGCGTGTTTTCTTTCCAGTTGATGTAAAGATTTGATTTTTATGTGCTCTTTTTTTATGGGTTTTGGTTTGAATCTGAACCTGAGTTGTAATTCTCTGAGGACATACTTTTCTGTTTATTAGTTGTTTCCTGTCAAATGACTTGACTTTTTATTTGTTCTGTTCGGTATGTTTCTTATTGGGTCTGTAGGAGCTATAGATGGCAGATGAATCAGTGATCAACGGGGAATTTTCTGATGATCAGAACGTTGAAATATCCGGGGATGAAGCTTCGGCGAAAATATCAGGTCTCACGGTAAAAGTGGCTGATCTTGAGCGAGAAAATGCCAAAACGGTTCAGGAAAATGAGGGCTATAAGCAGCAACTCGAGCAACTGAAAGCATCCATCAAGGAGTTAAATTCCGAAATTGTGGAGCTGAAGAAGGAGATAGACAAAGCAGAATCAGAAAGTAAGGCCTTGGGTGCAGTGGCTGCTCGAGCAGCAGAACTCGAATCCGAGGTGTCAAGGCTTCAGCATGATTTAGTATCAGCCATGAGTGATTTGCAGGAATCAACAACTGAGCTGACAAGCTTGAAGAAGGATTTTGAGAGAGTTAAAGAGAAGGAGAAGGAGAAGGATGTTCAGCTGGAGGCCATTGTCAAGGAGCGGGATTTGTTATTGGTTAAGGTTGAGGAAATGGAAAGCGAAGAAAGCAGTTTGAGGGGTGAATTGGTGGGTAAGGAAAAGGAAATTAGTGGTCTGAAGAAGAGTAATGAGGATTTGAAGGTGGCTGTGGAAAGTAGCAAGGGTTCGGAGAAGTCGAATAACGATCTGGAGATTGAGATTGAGAAATTAAAGCTGGAAATCAGTATTCTGCAGAGCTCCTTGAAGGAGAAAGAGAATGTGATTAGTGGGTTTGAGATGAAAGAAGAAGCTACCTATGGTGGTCTCAGTGGTGAGGGTGAAAAGTCCGTAAAACAAACGGAGTGGAAAATTGTTGGGGGTTCGGTTGTGGCTGCTGTTGTTTTCATGGGCTTGGTTTGCTACGTACGTGCACGAAGGTACTGATTCGGGTTCTCCCTTGATCGTATGAATTTTGAGGTTAGGTGGGCATTTTTTTGTTCCTAACTCAATGATGGAGAGTTCTCTCAGTTTTGATAGTTTCAACTTTTGGTTTATCCTTACCGGGTTTAGTAATGAATTTGTGATATTTGTGGTTGTGTTTTTCTGGAATAATTCTTGGCAAGTACTGGATAATATTTTCTTCCAATAACTGCGTGTATTATCCCATTTGAATGAAGGTTTGAAATATATGGTTCAGTTTTAAGATTGATGTTATCTTCCGTGTAGTTTGTTATGGATATTTCTTTTTAAGCAGTGTTTACACTTTACATTCAGTTCTCCAACATACTTTTATTAGTTGACATTTATAATATTTTCAGCTCCATCCTGTTTCTGAGTTAACCGGGTATTTTTGAAATTTTCTGTTCTTATGCTTGAAGTTATGGACAGGAGTTCACTATAATGAGGCTTATAGCCTTTATTCTGTTTAGTAATTAGTTTCACATAATATAGGAGAGGAGATTGGTATCTTACGAGAAAATTAGTTGGTCGGTTGAGACTTTTTTTGTGAAATAATACTCGAGCGTTGCTTCTATTTGTCTGCATTGAATGCATAAAATATTACAGTTTTATATTGCATGCCTTAGATTTTGATTTCACATACTTTCTGCTTTTTCCCGTATAGTTCGAGTTAACCCACGCACATTTTTTTGTGGTAGCACTGAATGTGGGGCAATATGATTGAGGTTTAGTTAGCTAGTTTGAAAATCGAGCTACGACCTGGTATTTCTAAACATTTTCTAGCCCGATGAGTGATGATTAGTCGAGCTTTCTGATTTGCTACCATTGCGTGATCGAGCTTTCTGATTTGCTACCACTGCATGATCGAGCTTTCTGATTCGGTACCCATTGTGTGTTTATCCATGATCCGATAACGATTGCAGATGATAGTGTTGGCCTTATCTATGACATTCAACGTTAGCACAGGTTTTAAGAAAGTAAGTTGGATACTCATATGCAGATATGATTGACATATCAAAGATCTTTCTCCAATGTAGTAATGTACGAACCTTCTCTTGGATGCCATTTGTTTAGTTTCCGAGAAATAATTCGAATTAAATAGGAGAACATGCGATAGTTACAGTAGATTAAGTACACCAACACGTCTCGATGGGGGTACGGAATATTCAAAAACTACATCGAGTGCAAAACGTCTCGATGCGGGTACGGAATATTCAAAAACTGCATCGAATACAAAGTCGAGTGCTTTGCATTTCCGTAGAATAAATCTTGAATTTAAGAGCTTAATGTGGTTCTGCAAGAATATATATACAATATTAAAATCAGTAAGCAATATACATTTTCAACACTCAAATCACTCTCTAGAAGTAAAGAAAGCTTCTAATGGAAACTCAAGATTAAAGCTTGATTGGGGTTTGGAACAGTGGCGTGATTTCTTGCAAAATCACCGAACGAAATTGTTGCTGGCATTTGTTGCAAAAATCCGTCTGATGAGACTTGAGATTACGGTTAAGGGCTAAATTTGAAATTTCTAATAATCCCGTTCTATTTTATCCGCATATGTAAACACGGTATTATTTGGGTTAAAAACACATCCTATATATTGCGAACAACGAATGAAAATTCA